AATCCTAGGAGCACAGGGAATCTACCCCAGAGCACTGCCCACCCCTCCCTCTGGTACTGGATTGTTGGGGTGAGGGGTACAGCAGGAGGAAATTGACCAGAGAGGCCTGTCAGCCTAACTATGGGATGAACCCATCAAAAAGGTCATGAAAACTTGGCAAGTTAATTAGCTATTTTGACAAAGTATCTGGTCTGTCCCAAACCCAAGCTGATATAGTCCCAGGTTTACAAAGAAGTGCATTCTCCCTCACCCAGGACCCTGCACTCCCCCATACATTTGCACATTCTCTCTTGCCCAGGAACATACAACCATGTACTAGGTCTAGCAGCTACTGGGGCCACAGCAGACTATGGGCTCCATAGGACTAAGCTTTAATATGAAGCAGAAACTGTGGACAATGGCCTTTGACTTGGCCTTGCTGAAGACATGATTGAATTATTATCATGGTGGGATTAAGGGAGATGGCACAGTGCAAACCCAGGGGCAGATTTTCCCCTGCCCCTGAATAAACTGTCTTGCCACACCACAATCTCCCATGCGTGCGTGCTTGGAATGGCTTCCTTATGATCCTGTGGAAGAGCCTAATTTTCATTGACAACACAACCACCACCCCAATCAAGACATAAAACTTTTTCATCACCTAGAAAGTTCCTCCTCACCCTTTTCCATTCAGTCCCACTGTTCTGACTACTATCACTCTAGATTGGTTTTGACTTTTCTACAGTGTCTGTTATAAACTAAATATTTGTGTCCCTCAAAAATTCATATTTTCGGGGCCCAACGCAGGCTCTTCCAACCCATTCCACAATGGTGTATTTATTGCAACTAAAGTCAGCCCAGAAGTAGCCAGAGCAAGAAGAGCGCTCTGACTTTCCTTTGTCCCCTCAAAAGCAGGAAATAAATCTCCATGATAGGTGCCCTTTCCACTCTTGAAGGGCTTTGAGATACCTTTATCTTATAAAATCCAGAGCTGAAAAAAAGCCTGTATAAACTAACCTTCTAATACTTTCACTAATTTACTACCCAAGCCCAAACTTTGTTTAGATTCCTCACTTATGAATTCCCAAACCTGCTTAGATTCCTTTCCTTCTTTTAAAGATTTTATTTCTTTTTAGAGACAGAGGGGAAGGGAAGGAGAGAGAGAAACATCAATGTGTGGTTGCTTCTTGTGTGCCCCCTACTGGGGATCTGGCCCGCAACCCAGGCATGTGCCCTGACTGGGAATCGATCCAGTGGCCCTTTGGATTGCAGGCTGGCACTCAGTCCACTGAGCCACACCAACCAAGGCAGATTTCTTTCTAAAGAGCACTAACTTTCTTTGTCCTGTATATTTTTCACAAATTTATTGTGTTTTTACCTAAAAAATATACCAAAGTGCCTAGTTTGATCACTTTTTGAGCCTCATTTTATGATCTGGGCATTATATTGATTCTCCTGTGTTTGTATATTACATTGTGTCTTTTTTTTCTCCTGTTAATTTTGTGTCAATTTTATTATTTAATAAATAGTCCAACCAGAAGAACGAAAAAAAAAGTAAAGTGGGGAATTCTCTCCTGCTCCTCCTAAATATTTTGAAACCTCAACTGCCAATGTGTCAGTACTAGGAAGGGGGCCTTTGGGAGGTGTTTAGGTCAGGAGGGTGAAGCCATCATAAATGGGATTAGTGCACTTAGAGAGGCATCCCAGAGGGCTCTGTACCTTCTGCTCTATGAGGACACAGTGAAGATAGCTGTCTATGAACCAGGATGAGGGCCCTCACCAGATACCAAATCTGCCTGCACTGTCATCTTGGATTTCCTGCCTCTAGAAATAAATTGCTGTTATTTATGAGTCACTCAGTCTGTGGTATTCTGTTAAGCAGACCAAACCGACTAAGACAGTGTCATATAAGTGAAATAAAACAGTAAATAGTCTTTTGTATCTGTTTTCTTTCAGTTAGTGTATCTGTGAGATTCATCCATGTTGTCACATGTACTGGCAGTCCCTTCCTTTTTACTGCAGAAGAGTTTTCCACTGTATGTCCATTCTACAATTCATTTATCCTTTCATTTGTTGATGCATATTTGGGCTTTTATGGCTTGGGGCTGCTAAGAATAAAGCAGCTCTGGATATTTTTTGCAAATCTTCTTGTGTGATAGAAGTTTCATTTGTCTAGGAAAAATATCTAGTCATGGAATTCCTGGGTTATAATTGTACATTTAACTCTATCAAAGAACTGTGGCTTGTTTTTTGTTGTTGTTGTTGTTTTGTTGTGTTTTTTTTTAATGTAACCTTCCTGAAAGGATATTTAGAAATCACCTTGTAAAGATCACAGCAAAATAACCTCCACAGAGACAAGATGGTAACAGGGAGGTGACAGCTTTTTGAAAAAAGGCTGTTTTTCGATAGCTCCTGAATTAAGTAATTCCTGAGTAGATTGCATAATTGGTGCTAACTTTGGGCTATACCCAAGAAAGTGATTTACTCACATTGCTAATGGAAATGGACTAAACAGGGTAGCAGTACTGAAATACACTGAAGGTTACTCACACTGAAATGTTGGCAAAACCTTTTGGAATTTTGCCTTAAGCTCAACCAATTACAATTTAACAGAGTGATTTATTGAGAGTATTAGCTATGGAAAGGTCACCTTAGGAGAAGCTAATCTGGGTTCTGAATTTTCACTGCTTTAGACTCCTGTCCCACCCCGAGAAAGATAAACAAGATCTTCTGTGACTTGAGTGCTTTCACCCTTTGCCAGACGTATCATGAAAACATATTGTATGAGAAAGCAGCACGAGATAGCTTTTGTGTTTGGGTGATTGGACAAAAGAAAGGAATCTGACCCTGTTTGGATCCCTGGGAGCAGGAGCAAAGGAGTTTGACCACAGCTGGTTCCATGTGAGATAGTCCAGAATCCCTTGGAAGCCCTGCTTGTATTGGTAAGACCTCAGAAGAAGTGGTGAGGCCGGGAACTAGGAATTTTGGCTTAAAAAGCTTATGTGCAAGGCTGTACTTACATAGTCCTCTACCTGGAAAGTGGGGTCATTAAAAGTGGGAAGCTAGAGCTAGGTCAGGCTGGCCACTTAGTTGGAGCATCATCCCATATACCAAACAGGTTGCAGGTTCGATCCCCTGCCAGCACACATACTTAGCTTTTGGGTTTGATCCCTGGTATGGGAGGTAACTAATCAATGTTTATCTCTCATATTGATGTTTCTTTCTCTCTTTCTCTCTCTCTCTTCCTCTCTCTCTAAAATCAATAAATATATCCTTGGGTAAGCATTTAAAAAAGGTGGAAAGCTAGAGCAGGAGACTGCAATTATAAGAACAGAACCATCAGCAGGCCCCAGGCAGATCCTGGAGAACAAAACCCACTGATGCTGCATTTCCTGGTGATGGTGGGTATCCTCTGTTGTAGGATGAATCATTGTTCATCATTCTTCAGACACTTTCTGTGCTAGAATGTGAAAATCACACCCTTTGCCATGTGACTTTGAAGTATTCCCCATTAGTGTGAGTGGAATACCCCTCCCGCCACTGATACTGGAAGGGTTGTGTGACTTGCTTTGCTCAATGGAATGTGGGCAGGAGTGACTCAAGTGGCCTCAAGTAGCATCATGTGCTCAACTTCCTGTGTTCCTGCAATTTGCCACGAAAAGAGTATGACCTAGTAGAGCTGGCCCAAGGAAAATTTGGAGATAAGTAGACTTCAGCCAACCTAAAGCTTTAATCCTAGCCCAGCAGACTAGTAGCCTCAAGCAGAGATTTCCCAGCCAACCTACAGACCTAAGAGAAAGAGAAAGAAATGATCATGGTTGGATACGCCATTGCATTTTGGTGTGGTTCGTTATGCAGTGTTATTATAGTATTTGCTAGCTGATATTAATTCTGTTCTCTCTTCTTTCATAACAATGCAAATCTCAATTTTTAGCTGACTATTTAAATTTTCCATTCTTTCTTGTAGGTGGGGGCGTATAACTGAGTTCTGGTCAATATTAGTTGAAGTGTTATGTGACAGCTTCAGAGACACTTCCTTAAAGGCCTGTGGCATACCGTGTTCATCCCTTCCTGCATCTTGTTATCTGGAGCAAGAATGTGATGGCTGGAGCTGGAGCTGAGATGTTGGATCTTGAGGAAAAAAGCCACATCCTGGGGAACACGGAGCAGTGAGCTACCTGGAGCCATGTAGGCTACTCTATAAGAGAGAAACAAATTGTGTTCTTTAAGCTCTTTATCTTTAAAATTCCCTCACTGAGCTTATTCCTGACTCTGTCCTCAAGCCATCTTTTAATAAACCTGATAAAGAATTGTGATATATCTTTACAAGAAGACTATTGTGCAGCCGTGATCCACTGTTACTACTAATCAATGTTTTTATACTAATCAAAGTGAGTATAGCACTAAGCAGCTTAAAAATAAACTTCTTGGGGAGAAAAGGGGAAGTGACTGATACCGGGCATAGGTTTTTTGGGGGGCAATAAGAATGTTCTAACACAAGATAGTAGTGATGTTTGCACAACTCTGTGAATAATGAAAATCAGTGGAAGTGTATCATTTAAAAGGGTGAATTGAATGGTATGAAAATCATATCCCAATAAACTGTTGAAAAAATCACTGGCCTATTCATTGTTCACACCACTGTGAGGCAGGCACTGGTATTTCCCCTACATTGCAGCACAGGAAACTGTCAGGATGGGCGGGGTAGGACAAAATGGCAGCTGAACTACAACCCGGAAAAGGCGGCTGACGTCAAACCAGAGAGCCGAAAGGGCGGGCTTTGCCAAGGTGGATATCTCCATAGCAATCTGACCCGCCAATGACATATTACTGCTTTGTTCAATGGGGACAAATCCCCAGCTCCCACAAAGCCAACCAGAATAACACCCCCCCCCCCGCCATGTTCCCTGCTTGGGTACAACTTCCCCAGCCCCACTCTGCGGACCAGGGAACCTCACCTGGGTGCACAAACCCCAATAAAGCTCTATACTGCCCGACTTTGTGGCTGATGGGCATTTCTTCCTCGGCGGAGCCTAAGAAAACCTTTTATTTGGTGCCGAAACCCGGGAGGAGTTGTTTTCTGCTGAAGACCACTCCTCTCCCTACTCCCTGAGGAGACCTCACAGCCACCCCACCAGTCCAGACAAAGAAGCAAGGTAAGTGCCATTGCCCTTAAGTTTCTGGTCCCCGAACACTGATTCCAGGCCCCCATCTGCTGGGAGAGACTGCTCTCCACCAAACCGCAGCTCTGTGTCGGGGTGACCCTTCTAAAAGAGGCTGTTCTCCCCTCTGAGAGGTTCTGGGCACCGGAGGAGACGTCCCTGGGCCTGGATCCCCATTTTTACCCGACCAGATTGGGTAAATCAGCAGATTGGGTTGAGGGACGCTGATTCCCATTTACTGATCCTCGTAGCACCAGGAATGGGGGGGCAGGAGTCCAAGCCGGATCCTAAGTCACCTCTAGGGTGCCTCCTGAAAAATTTGCCAGCAATTGATCCTGGCCTCAAGCAAAAATGGCTGATTTTTCTATCCAGTATGGCTTGGCCGTTATATCAGCTCGATAATCGTGAAACCTGGCCTCCTGAAGGCACTTTCGATTTCATTTCCCTTACTGACCTAGATAATTTTTGCAAATGGACTGGCAAATGGTCGGAGGTCCCCTACATTCAGGGCTTTGGGGCCTTGCATTCTCACCCAGATCTGTGTACCCAGTGCTCCACAGCCCAAGTTCTCCTCTCCCAAGGGAACCCTGAACCTGTCCAGCCTCCTAAGCCTACTGCCCCAGAACCTCCCTCCTCCTCTGATTCCCCTGAAGATCTTGCTTCTCCTCCTCCTCCCCCTTCTTATCAGCTCCCACCAATGGCTACTCCAGCCTGGGCCCTCCACCAGATTCTCCCCCTCCCTCTGAAGACCTTTCTTCCCCAGTTAGCTCACATACTTGCTCCTGCCTGAATCTAGAGCCCCTAGACTCCCACATTTGCCCCCTCTAGAAAGTGGCAGGAGCAGAAGGTGTCATACAGGTCCGTGTCCCCTTCTTACTAACTGACCTCTCTTCAATTGAGGAACACCTAAGCTGTTCTCCACTAATCCTACCAATTTTATCAAAGAATCCCAATACCTAGTCCAGGCTTATGACCTCACATGGCATGACCTGCATATCATTTTAACTTCCACCATGACCCCCGGACAAGTGTGACCGCGTCCAGACTGCAGCTAGGGCTCATGCAAACCAAACCCATGCCACCAATCCCCTCCTTCAGCCAGTAGGGGCTGAAGCCGTGCCAAAGGCAGAACCAGGCTGGGACTACCAGGTAGGACAGGCAGGTAGGAGCAACCAAATGGTCCAGTGCCTGATAGCAGATATGCACCAATCTGCCCAGAAAGCAGTCAATTATGATAAGCTAAGAGAGGTCACCTAAGGCCCTGGAGAAAATCGTGCTATTTCTCAACAGACTAACTGATGAAATGGTGCTCCATACCCGCCTTGACCTGGCTTCTAATGCTGGGGCCACTGTCTTAGCTACTCACTTTATCTCCCAATTGGCCTCAGATATTAGAAAAAAACTAAAAAGGCCGAGGATGGCTCCCAAACCCCCATCCAAGATCTGGTAAATATGGCATTTAAGGTTTTCAATAACTGGGAAGCACAGGCTGAGGCTGCCCGCCAGGCTCGCCTACAGCGAAAGGTAGCCCTGCAAACCCAGGCCATGCTAGCGGCCCTGCAGCCGGCAGCAGACACCGACATGGAGGTGAAGTCTAAGTCCAGGCCAGAGAACACCTCACTGGGGGCCTGTTTCAAGTGAGGCAAAGAAGGGCACTGGGCCTGCCAGTGTCCTCAACCTCGGCCACCAACAAAGCCTTGCCCAAATTGCCGACAGCTTGGCCACTGGAGAGATGCCTGTCCCCTTAGAGGCTTGTCCCCGGCGCCTCCACACGGGGGACCGGCGGATCAAGGTGGGGACTCTTCCCTGGCCGCACCAGAACTTCTCAGACTCCTGGATGACTGAAGTGGCCCGAACTCGAAGACCCCCATCACCCTCACTAAGCCCAGGGTAATGCTGCAGGTAGCGGGTAAGTCCATCTCTTTCCTAGTGGATATGGGGGCTACCTACTCTGTTTTACCATCTTTTTCAGGACCTCTTACTCCTTCCCAGATCTCGGTCATGGGGGTTGACAGGACCCCATCTCGCCCAGGGTGAACCCCCCTGCTTAGCTGCAGTCTGGACGGCTTTCCCTTTTCCCATTCATTCCTTGAAATACCCTCCTGCCCTGTTCCGCTTCTAGAATGGGATGCTCTCCAATTATTAGGTGCCACTCTTCAGATCGTGCAAATCCTGACCCTTTCCTCCTCCCTTTTCCTCCCACTGTTAGAAAACCTACTTGCCCCTCCCTGACGAACCAGAAATGGCTGACCTCGTGCCCCTCCCCTCTACGCTCCTCTGACAGCAGGAAGTAGCTGGATGGAACAAGGTGCCCCTTATCCTATCAAAGAGGTCGGAATGTCAGGATGGGCAGGGTAGGACAAAATGGCGGCTGAACTACAACCTGGAAAAGGTGGCTGACGTCAAGTCAAACCAGAGAGCAGAAAGGGCGGGCTTTGCCAAAACAGATATCCGCATAGCAACCTGACCCACCAATTATATATTGTCGCTTTTTCAATGAGGACCAATCCCCAGCTTCCACGAAGAGAGCCAACCAGAATAAAACCCCGTCATATTCCCTGCTTGGGGGAGACCATCCCAGCCCCACTCTGTGGACCTGAGAACTTTACTGGGTGCGCAAACCCCAATAAAGCTCTTTATTGCCTGACTTTGTGGCTGATTGGCATTTCTTCCTTGGAGCCTAAGAAAACCTTTCAGAAACCAAGGCTTAGAGAGCTTCACTGCCCCTCCCAGTGCGTTCAGTTCACAAACATCAGGGGCAAGACCGGGCCTCAGGCCTCCCAACATGACAGGAGCAGAGCAGCCATGGGGTGTATTGCCACCCTGCCGTAGGGCCACAGGGAAACTGCACTCGGGACTGTTTACCCAACTCTGGGCTGCGGGTGCAGCTTCTTTTCAGCTCTCCTTTTTAGCACCTTCTTCCCTGACACATTCTTCCCTTTAGTTAGCCCACTCACATGCCAACTACCTTGGTTACTCAGGGCCCCTGCTCTCTCTCTCTCTCTCCTTTGTAAGCATGCTCGCCAAGAAATATAAAAAGATATTTGACTGATATAAACCAACATATAATACAACTGCAAGTAGTTTTTCCCACATTGCCAGGTATCCCAACTTTCAAATGCCCCTCCCTGCAAAAATGATAGCTGGAGGATTGCTGGAGGCATGAGGCACCTTCCTTTGGGGCTCCATCATCTGGGGGGACTGTCAGCTGGTAGCAGCACACACTTATGGGAGGTCTCCTGTGAACCAGCAGTTCTGATGAATACTTGAAGTCGTGCTTAACTCCCCAGCAATCCATTGACTGTGAGCATTGAGGCACACATTTCACAGATAAGGAAACTGAGTTCAGTGAGGTCAGGTGACTTACCCAAGTTCTTTACAGATAGTGAGCAACCAAGCCAGGCTTCCAGCCCAGGTCTCCTAATTTAGAATTTGATGTTCTTTTCCTTATTTTGTACACGTATTTTTTTTTCTCAGAATCCCCCATGGGGTCTACCACAGTCCTGGAGCAGAGGAGGCATTCAAGAAGGGAATAAAAAAGAAATAAATAAAAGCCAATCTTTTGCCAGCTTGCCAAAGGGCATTTTTTCCTTAAGCAAGATTTATGAATCGACCCTCGGCCCCAGCACATATATGTGGAACAGCAAGACTCACTTGGGCTTTCATTTGCAAGGGGAGAAGAGTGCCAACAGCCCTGCACTGGCAGAGGTTAGCATTATATTGGCAGATGGGGTGGGGGAGGAGAAAAGCAGGAGATATGTGGCTTCATCTTCTCAGAGGCAAAAAGAGCTGCCTAAATATCTGCTGAGGAGCTGGATGGCAAGCACCCTGAGAATCCCAAGAAAGTTTGAAGGCAAATGAGTGTCAAGGAAACTCACAAACTATAGAAAAGAGGAAGTTGAAAAGCCTGGCAAGATGTAGAAATTCTCTTGCAAAACTAACATCATATAATATCACTTGTAATACCTTTCTACCTTTCAAAATGGATTGTACGTAGCTGGACACTGGGCCCTCTGCCGGCACTGAGCTCATTGTTAGCCCCAGTGCCATCAATGCCAGAACACTGGATGTCTAATATTATAGCCATCAGCCCCACCAGAAGGAATTCCAATTATATTGTTCAGCCTGGATCTAAAGGTCTCAGATGAGGATCTGATTGGCTGTGCTTAGTTCATATGTCTGTGCTTCAGCTGCCAGAGGTTAAGGAGACTTTGTTTCCTTCTTCAAATCCGGAGTGAGATTCTCACATAAGGGCAGATTCCCCACAATCAGTAAATAGGCTCAGATCTACACAATTATGACAAAAACATGTCTACTACAAGCAAGATAATGATACCTATTTCTCAAAGTTGCTGGGAGCATTGATTAAGATTATTCATTTATTCTACATCATATACTGAGTTGTCTATAATATTCCCAGCACTGTGCTAGGTGCTTGGTAATCTCTCTAAGTCCTGGCATATGATAAGCATTCAATGATAACTATCTTAAGAGAAGCTAAGAAACAGGAGAGGAGGGGAGAGAATGACCCTCAGGAGGGGAGAGAATGACCCTCAGGAGGGTTTCTCTGTTGAGCAATTCAACTGAGATCTGACCTCAGAGCTTCCTGGGAGCCAAGGGGAATAATTCTCATGACAAAAAACATAAATAGCTCATTGAGTACTTTCTGTATACCAGGCACTGTGCTAAACATCTATGTGTATTATATGACTCTTAACCCTCATAACAACTCTATAAAGTAGATATGACTATTACTCTGATTTTACAGATTATGAAAACAGGTTCAACATGGTTAAGTAACTTGGTCAAAATCATCTGATTAGTAAATAGTGGTGCTGGGGTTTGATCCATATCTTTCTAACCCCAGAGCCCAAACTATTAATCACTGCTCTGTAATTCTCTCCAGCACCAAATGTTTGGGATGAATTACTAAGGGGCTGACAGCTCCCACTTCTGTGGGACAAATATTTGCAAAGCCCCCAAGGTCAACTTGTTAAAGATGCCATCTTTTTCACCTTTTTTGTTTGCTGGGCTGGTTTGCATTTTGTGCAACTGATTTAAAATTTCCCTTTCTTATCCTTGTCTAGGAACAGTGGCAAAAATAAATGAGAATTGAGAAGGTGCTGATGATGGATGGGAAGAGAACACAACCATTTACCTGATCATGGCATATTGGCCATGGCAGGCAGCCTGGCAGGAGGAGATGGGCCTTTGGACATTAATTTTCCATTACCTCTTGGAGGCAGACCCCGTCTGGAACAATGGTAAGGAAGCCAAGGTTGACTTTATGCTCACAAATGTTGTGGCTGGAAGGGACCTTAGACTCACCTAGTTTATTATTTTCAAGCATTTTCAAAGCAGTGAAATTCATGCTTTAAAATAAATCTTTACAAAATCCCAAATTCTAAAAATAGATCAAACTGGAGCTGCTCTGGTTAAAGTGAGGCTGGGGCTCAGAGCAGTTTGAGAATCACCAAGTCCACTTCCTGTGGTACAGGTAAGGGAACTGAGGCCAAAAAATGAGAACGACTTCCCCATTCAGCAGCAGAGCCAGCTCCCAGCTCCAGCCCCAAGCCCCAGTGCAGTGCCTTCTCCATGGGAGCACATCATCTTGCCTCCTTCCAGCTCAGCACCTCCTACTTTCTGGACTCCTCCTTCTACAGATAAAACAGAGGAGCTGATTCACTCAAAATTCTAGAAGACATCAAAGCACAATCAGGACATCTCTGAGACCCTTTAACAGAGACAAATGGAGCAGGGAGAGACGTTCCTTCCCTCTTGAGGAAGGTGGTCATACAGCCTCAACACCATGTCATCTCTGCTTCAATAACACACAGTGGAATTACTGGTGATGTGCAGGGGGAGGTGGGGTGACCTGAGAATGTATATCTAGGGCAAATAGCAGTGGCCTCTGTGGTCGGGGTCTTAACAGGAAGAAAATTACTCCTAATGGGGTATCTGAAGAGTCTGAAGGACCATTTACAAAGATGTAGGCAGTGTTAAGGGCTGGCAGGGCTAGCCGTAGCAGGAAGCCTTTACCTCTCCTAGGTCTGAGGACACAAGCAAGGAACTTGTTAGAATATGGGTCACATGGTAAGAGCTGTAGCCTCTCTTAAGGGAACCACTCACTGCTAGGAGGCAGCAGGAAATAAATACCCTGACCTCACACTCTTCCTCCATCCAGAGTGTTCCTTGGCTGAACCTGACTAGAAGCCAGGGCAGAGTAGCCTGGATGATACAATTTATAAAGGTCAGCATTGCAAGACACCAAGCATGGCTGACAAGGGAGGAGGGAACTTGGAGGGGCTAGCAGAATTTATCCAATACAGTGCCATCCGATGGAAGCAATAGTGCCCATGGACTTCAGAAAGAGCACACACAAGCCATCCTGGGCACTCCTAGAAATTCTCACGGGGGACAGGCACTTTGCAGGGGCAGATCTAGGGAAGAACTTGAGAAATTAGGACATAAATGCAACCTCATCTATACCTGTGAGGCCTGGGAAAACTCACACACTTTATTCCCCAAACCCAGATCTTCTGAAGTTGGCAGTGGAAGGAGAATGCCCTGGTTGCAAGACCAGGTGAGGTCCAAAAAAGGTTCTCTTTGCCTCTAGAGACCTCTTCATCTCCTTTACTCTTATCATCAATTGCAACCTTGGAGAATGTGGCTTCCTTCTTGCCTTTCATATTTGCAATACTGCAATGTAGTTGTGACACTAAATATCTGGACTCCACGGGTAACAAACTCATGCTTCACACAACAGCCACAGGTTCAGGGATCCCCAGGCTACTCACACTTCTGACCAACTGGCTAAAAATTTGGGGATTTCTACTACTCCCTCAGGATGACAATTCACTAGAATCACTCACAGAACTCAGAAAAATGCTGTACTTACAATTTGGGTTTTATTATAAAGGATACAAATCAGCAATAGCCAAATGAAGAGACCCATAGGGAGAAGTCTGGGAGGGTTTTGAGGCCTTTCCATGTGGAATCCAGGGCACATCACCCTTCCAGCACATTGATGTGTTCATCTGCCAGGATGTTTGCCCAAATCTCAGTGCCCAGAGTTTTTCTTGGGGTGTCATAACATAGGCACGATTAATTGAATCACTGGCCACATAATTGAAATCAATCTTCAGCTCCCCCCACTGCTGTAGATTGATGCCACGTAACTCAAAACTCCAACTCTTAGTGTAATACCCTCAAGGTCCATCCATGTTGTCACACATGGCAAGATTTCCTTCTTTTTATGGCCAAGTAATATTCCATTATATATATGTACCACATTTTTTAATCCGTTCCTCCAGTGGTGGGTACTTAGGTTGTTTCCATATCTTGGCTATTTTTTTTAAAATTCTGCAGTGAACACAGGAGTGCATATATCTTTTTAAATTAGTACTTTTGATTTCTTCAGATAAATATCTAGAAGTAAAATATGATCATTTTATTTTTAATTTTTAAAGGAACCTCCATACTGTTTTTCATAGTAGCTATACCAGTTTACATTCTTACCAGCGGTGCACGAGTTTTCCCTTTTCCACATTCTTACCGACAGTTGTTGTTTGTTGATTTATTGATAATAACCATTCTAACAAGTGTAAGGTAATATCTCATTTTGGTTTTGATTTGCATTTTTCTGATGATTGGTGATGTTGAACATCTTTTCATGTGCCTATTGGCCATCTGTGTGTCTTCTTTGCTAAAATGTCTATTTAGAGCCTCTGCCCACTTTTTAATTGGTTAGTTTGTTTTATGCAGTTGAGTTGTATGAATTCTTTATATATGTTGGATATTAATCTCTTATTAGATATATGATTTGCAAATATCTTCTCCCACTGGATATGTTATCTTTCCATTTTATTGATGAATTCCTCCACTGTGCAGAAGCTTTTTAGTAGCCTCATTGGTTTATTTTTGCTTTTGTTTCACTTGCCTTTGGAGTCAGATACAAGTCTTTTGATGAACCCAAAGAGGTCCACACCAAGACATATTATAACAAAAATGGCAAAGTTTAAAGACAAAGAGAGTATCTTAAAAAGCAGCAAGAGAAAGGCTGATTTGCATTTTTTGATAATTGGTGATGTTGAACATCTTTTCATGTGCCCATTGGCCATCTGTGTGTCTTCTTTGCTGAAATGTCTATTTAGATCCTCTGCCTGTCTATTTAGATCTCCCTTAATGGAGATCCCATAAGACTGTCAGCTGATTTCTCAATAGAAACATTTCCGGCCCGAAGGGATTGGTATGAAATATCTAAAGTAATGAAAAGCAAGGGCCTACAACCAAAACTACCTGGCAGGGTATCATTTAAAATTGGAGAAACAAAGAGCTTCCCAGACAAGAAAAGGCAAAAGGAGTTTGTTACCACCAAACTAGTATTAATAGAAATGTAAAAGGGCCTTCTTTAAGAAGAGAAAGAGGATGAGGAGGAGGAAGGAGGAGAAACACAGAGGAGCATAGTTATAAAGAATACAATGGCAATAAATACATAATTATAAATAGTTACTTTAAGTGTAAATGGCTTCAATGCTCCAATCAAAAGACATAAGGAACTGAATGGATAAGAAAACCAGACTTATACATATGCTGTCTACAAGAAACCCACCTCAGAATGAAAGATACACACAAACTAATAATAAAGGAATGAAATAAGATTATTTCATGCAAATGGAAATGGAAAAAGGCTGGGGTAGCAATACTTATATCAGACAAAGCATACTTTAAAACAAAGTCTTTAGTAAGAGACAAAGAAGGACACTACCTAATGATACAGGGATCAATCCAACAAGAGGATATAACCCTTGTATCCATTTATGCACCAAACATAGGAGCACCTAAGTATATAAAGCAAATCTTGATGGACATAAAGGGAGAGATAGAAAGTAATACAGTCATAGTAACAAATTTTAACAAACACCTCATTGACATCAATGGATAGGTTTTCCGGACAGAAAATCAATAAGGAAATGGTGGCCTTAAATGTCACAGTAGATCAGATGGATTTAATTGCTGTCTTCAGAGTATTTCATCCTAAAGCAGCAGACTACACATTCTTTTCAAGTGCACATGGAACAGTTTCTAGAATAGGCCATGTGGTAGGTCACATGATAAGTCTCAATAAATGTAAGAAGACTGACTTAAATGTAATACTTGAAACCACAAAAATCTTAGAAAACATAGGCAGTAAAATCTTAGATATTTCTCATAGCAATAATTTTTTGATAAAAACTTCAGGCAAGGGAAACAAAAATAAACAAATGAGACTATATAAAATTAAAAAGGTTTTGCATAGCAAAATAAACCATCAACAAAATGAAAGGACAAACTACCAAATGGGAGACCATATTTGTCAATGATACATATAATAAGGAGTTAATATCCAAAATTTATAAAGAACTTATAAAACTTAACACCAAGAAAGAAACACCCCAATCCAATTAAGAAATGGGCAAAGGACCTGAATAGACACTTCTTTAAAGATGACATACAGATGGACAATAAACACCTGAAAAGATGCTCAATGTCATTAATCATTAGAGAAATGCAAATTAAAACCACAGTGAGATATCACCTCAAACCTGTCAAAGTAGCTAGCATCAATAAATAAAAAACAAAAACAAAAACAAAAAACAACTACTGGCAAGGATGTGGATAAAAGGAAACTCTTGCGCACTGTTTGTGGGAATGAAAATTGGTGCAGCCACTGTGGAAAACAGTATGGAGCTTCCTCAGAAAATTTAAAAATAGAACTGCCTTATCACCCAGTGATTCTACTTCTGGGAATTTATCTGAAGAAACCTGAAACAGTAATTTGAAAGAATATGTGCACCCGTATTTTCATTGTAGCATTATTTTCAATAGCTAAGATTTGGAAGCAGCCTAAGTGCCAATCCTACATGAGTGGCTAAAAATGTTGTGGTTCCATTACACAGTGGAATACTACTCAGCTATAAAAAGCATGGGAATTTTACCTTTTTAGACAGCATGGATGTACATGAAGAACACTATGCTAAGTGAAATAATCCAGTCAGAGAAAGACATATACCATATGATTTCATTTACATGTGGGAACTAATGAACAAAATAAACTAGTAAATATAATAGAAACAGACTCAAAGATACAGAGAACAGAGTGACAACTATTAGAGGGGAAGGGAGTTGGGGTGCTGAGTGAAAAAGGTGAAGGGATTAAAAAAAAGATACCTCATAGACATAGACAACAGTATCATGATTACCAGAGGGCAAAGGTGTTGGGAGGAGGTACAAGAGAGTAAATAAAGGATAAATAGTGATGGAATGAGATCTGATTTGGGTGGTGAACACACAATACAATGTACACATGATATATTATAGAACTGTACACTTGAAACCTATATAATTTTATTAACCAGCATCACGTGTCACCCCAATAAAATGTTTTTTTAAATATTAAACTTTTCAAGATGGTAACAGCAGAGCATTTAACCAAACACACCCCTTGCCCCCACCAATGCAGGAGGAGCATAGAGTGTGACCAAGAAATGAATCTATTTTAAGACACTGATATTGCAGGGTTGATTGTTACTTCAGCATAACTCAGGACATCCTGATCAATATGCGCCAGTGCTGTACAAGTTCCTGCATATGTTGACTGCCATTCTGCCCATGTGGTTGTCTCCTTGACATCCAAACAGGGCATCCAGAACTGGTTTTTATGGAAGGAATATGGCTGGACTGTTACACAAAATTCTTCCTCAAAATTACATGAGGCACAAAATATTCCCAAACTTTATTTTTAACCCATGAACTTTGCCAGTATAATGAAAAAGATGCTTTCTACCCACATTCAAATAAAATAGTAAAATGTGTATTTATAAACTTGCTTAATTACATCACCACAAAATAAAAAGGATGTATGTTTTATTGGATGCTTTTCTTTTGTGCCAATTTCCTCTTACTTCTCCTGGATCTGATGTGAAGCAGCTCAAGGAGAAAGAGGAGAAAAGTAATGGGTTTGGCATTTACCAATCTCTGCATCTACCCTTCTTCATGGAGGGGGATTGGGTGAGCAGGGAAAAGAACAAAGCCCTGAAGAATGTCAGCCTCACAGGGAATCTCCCAGCACGTCCACCCTTTGCTACTCTATTCGACAAACGAGGGGCACTAAGGCGCATCAGCATCAAGGTTTGGAAGGAAAAAAGTGTTCAGGATTAAAAAAATAAACATAGCCAGAGGTTCAAAGCAGGAGTGGAAGGAAGAGATGAAAGTTGGCGCACAGGGGATTCTGTGTGGTACTGACATGGTGGATAAATGTCATTAGACATTTGTCAAAACCCATGGAATGTACAACACAAAAAGTGAACCCTAATGTAAACCATTATATAATGCCATTATATAATAATGGTTTACATCAATTATTATTGATGGAAATCAATAATAACAAATGTATCACATTAACAAATGTATCACATTTTAACCATCAATTTTAACAAATGTATCACATTAATGCGAGATGGGGGAAACTTGGTAGAGATGAAGGTATATAAAAGAACTGTATTTTCCAGTAAATTTTTCTGTAAACCTAAAATAAAACAGCTCAAAAACACGTGGATTAATTTTAAAAATAATAATAAATGTCTATTCGACAAAATGCTCTCCTTTTTGTCTCTCACTGCATGTGACTACTCTTTCCATCCTTTCAGAATGGAAGGATGAAAGAGCTTTTGCTGTGAACTCAGGAAAAAGGCAACTTGAGCTTGGAACTTGCTCAAATCCATAGCAAAGCAGAGAGAAGCCCAACAACAGCAACTTCCAACACGAACAGCAGAAAAGAAAATGCAGCTTGAAAGGTATCAAAGCTTTGTGAAAGTAGAAGCAGAGCAAAATGAATTTATTGACCAATTTATGTTTCAGAAATGAACCGATAATTTCATTTTATAGCAGGAGGGCAAAAAAATTAAATTAAATTAAATTAAATTAAACAAAACAAAACAACCCAAAACCTCTGTACCATTCCAGTGGCTATGACTAATGACCCAAGTATGTCATGTGAGATGGTGTGTAAAAGATGCAGCGTCTGTGAAGGTGATAAAGCAAATCTGGGTGAGTTTGTTACACATGTCAGTGCATAGCTGGTGAACACCCAGTGGCTGCAGTGGCTTAGGTTCTCACCTTTTCCATTCTAAGTCTGAACTGAGCACTCTGTAAACTTTCTTTCTTTCTTTCTTTCTTTCTTTCTTTCTTTCTTTCTTTCTTTCTTTCTTTCTTTCTTTCTTTCTTTCTTTTGTAAATTCACAAAGCTGTGGAAGGAAAGGCAATAAAATGTTGTTTTCAAAAAAAGAGAAAAATGAAATAACTTTGGGTGTAGAGACAGACTAGGGTGAGGCCTTTAAGAGAGGCAGAGAGTAGGGTATTGGGCCAGGGAGCAGAGCGAAGGTAAGGGAAAGGCAGGAGATGAGGTTGGGAAGGGTGTCTGGGACCAGCAGGTGCCTGACAAAGGCACCAGGGCCAGTGGGTACAGTGGGGCTAACATCTAGGTCAAATTCCACTTTCCAAGTCATGCACCCTGAACCTAGCTCTGCATCCACCCATGGAAACAGTACGTCTGGCCCTGGGTCTGTGCTGGCTGCTGTCCTGGGGACCAGATGGAAGACGTCCTCTAACACCAGGCTTAGGAGACGAAAGCTAATTCCATAGATAATGGGGAAACTGATGAGAGTTTGGAAACAGGAGAGTGATGTATATAATTGAGTTAGACTGAAGGATGAATTCATGTGTGAGCCCGACACAGAGAGACAATACAGGGCTACACCAAGGTTAACTGGGGAACTCTGAGGGGAAGCAGTGCCCATACTTACAGAATGAGGAGGAAATGAAAAACTAGGAAACTGAAATTGCTCAAAAAGGATTTGAGCCTTTTGGATGGGAAAGAAGAACTCCAATGGCTTGCAGAAGGAAGGATCGAGCAAGAAAGAAAGCAAGCAGCTGCCAACCTATCTGAATGAAAGCAAACATCTTGAACATGACATGAGGCTTCAAATGTCACTAAATTTTTGGCAGTTTTCTTCCCTTTAACCAGCCTAACACTGACTGGGATGCAAGAGAGGAATTGTTCCTCCATCCCACTGCCCTGGTGTGTTTAGTTAAAACAGCCTCATGGAAGCACCAACTGTGTACCAAGTGTCTGACAAGGGACGCTTGTGAAGCTGGGTTTCCCATTGAGTGCTTTGCCCTTGGAAATCCTTTCCCCAACAGCCCTCTGCACAAGGGCTTCCCTGAAGTAGACAACAAGGCCCATCTTTCCAGAGGAGAATGGCAATGCCAGCAGTGTGTCCAGAGAAGGAATCAGGGCTGTTGGAATAGGCCTGAAGGAATAGACTGCTCAGCAGTCTGTTTTGCAAGTTTGCCTGTGAACTTAGAAAACAAAGGCAAAGCAGGTCATGGCTACAAGCACAAATAATTGCCTGGGAAGGAAAACAAAAGTATACTACTAACCATTTATATCTCAGCCCAAGGAAAGAAGAGGTACCAGGATAAATAAATACTGATCACCCTTTAGATAAGTTGAAGACTTTCACATTCATTATCTTGATCCTCCAAGTAGCATGGAGGACCTTACAGATTAATATCTCCCTTTTAAAGCTGAGGGGATTAAGACCCAGAGAAGCTAAGTGACTTGCCCAAGGATACATAGGTAGCTGTTGGTAGAGCTGGGACTTGAACCCAGGGCTCCTGATATCTGGTGTGATGTCTTTTCCTAAGTGTGGATGGTGGGGTGAGTGCTGGGATGGTCTGGGGTGTGGTGCACTATCCCAGGGTGATGTGCGGTGCAGATGGCACCAGAGGACCTGAGAGAACAAGAGCTGGGAGCTCTTCAGCATACCACCAACTGCTGAGATTGAAGACACAGTCAGGTTCCCCTAAATTTCACCCACTGATAAGGCCTCTTCTCTCAGCTCTGGGTAAAAAGAGATAAAGAAGAGACTAGTGGGCAGTAAACTCGGAGTCACACATCAGTTCTAAAACCCAACCCCCAATCCTAGTTCTTTGCTCCTCTTTGGGGAAGCCTGCCCTAGAGAGCCAGCCCCACAATCACTACAAGCTTCCGCTTTCCCTACAGAAGCAAGATCACCACGGAAGAGCTTGGCCCCTCTTGAAGAACTCTACACAGCCCCCTGTGTCATGTGACCACCCTAGCTCAAGTTCCCTGAGATGCTTAAAGCTGGGAGCTGACTGCCTGTGTGCGAGCCCACTGTCAACTGTACACATGGAGGCTGCTCTTTGTGTGGGAGCTGATACTCTCCACAAAGAACTTGCCCCCAAAGCTCAGACCCTGGACACATGCTATTAGGAACTACGTCTGAAAGGGAGAAACATGACCCTAACTCTGGATCCAAACACCTAGATCCCAGATAGGCTGCCCCTTGAGGTCAAAGCTACCCTTCTTCCTCAAGACCCCTGTGGGGGATCCATGCGCAGAGAGAAAGCTCAAAAGGGACAATTTATAACTTGTGGGTATTTTGACCCAACCTCAGACATAGGATCATCAAGACCTCCTTTATCTTCAAGGCCAAAGGAAGGAAGGAAGAAGGCCAAAGTGCACTTTGGAGCTAGATCCCTTTGGGAATTCAAGGAGAGCTTTGAGACCCCCTCATTCTGACACTCTCCCCACAGCACTTACTCAACAGTTTGCACTCAAGTGTTGAGGTTTATAGATATAATACTGCCCATCCAGGGACATCAGCTGAATGACCCATGACTGGCAATGAAACTAGATGATCACTTCCTCACCCCTTTCCCTCAGGCCTCACAGGGGAAGACTAAGAGACTGGGAAATTATTCCTCCCCAACCTTCTGGGCTCAAATCATGTCTCTAATACATTGTTTTTAATATGTCTTTTAATTTTATTTATTTATTAGAGAGAGGGAAAGGGAGGGAGAGAGAGAAGGCCACATTGATCAGTGGCCTCTCACATGTCCTCACCCAGGGAGAGACCCAGATGACAATCCAGGCATGTGCCCTGACTGGGAATGAACTGGTGACCCTTTTGTTTGAAGACCTGTGCTCAATCCACTGAACCACACCATCCAGGCCTCCAAAACATTGTTTTAAAAAAATTAGTCATCGAAAATTACCAGGATAGGAAGTCATCTGTGACCCATTAGAACATCTTTCATGCTTAATGTTTCTGATGGCCTAATGAATGCAACTTAATTTAATATAGCACTGTGAGGACCTATTTGAGTCAGGCTCTGTGGTGGGTGCTGAGGATAGAAAGAGGAATTCAGGCTGGTCATTCAAAGAAGCAGTCACAATGTAGTTGAGAAAACATACACCACTAGTTACTATTTGGACCAGTGCCAAGTTTGAGAAATGGGTTAACAGGGAAGTCAATGATTATTTCTGGATAGAGGGGGAAAGTTAGGCAGCAGACTTATGGAAGAAAAGATGTTCAGGTCAGGCCTTTGGGCTGTTTTCAGAAAAGATTCATGATCAAAGGAGAGAGATGAAATGCAGGTGTGTCTGAGAAAAGGTATGTGTACCAGAAGAGCTAATGCATGACATGCATGTACTGCGTTGGGGGAGAAAAGAATTGAGCTGGCTGTGTTCCACTTAAATCTGGGGCCAAGCAATAAATGGATCAGGACAGGTGATGGTGTATATAGAGAGAAATTAGTAAGAAGACTTACAATATTGAACAGGAACACAGTTTTTGGAACTGACTGGTTTCTCTCCTGAGGAGTAACATCTATGGTGAGAAATGCATTGAATCAGGGAAACCATTCCTAGCTCTGATATTATAGCCTGGGGGGTGGGCCTTAGATAAGTGAGTTCCCTCCTGGGTCTCGGCTAGCATCTGTACAGGTACAAGGAAGGGATGACATCACATCCCTCCTGGCGGGGAAACAGGTGGCTCTATGAAGGGGGAAGCTGAACAGGACTTCAGTGAGGATTGTTTATAAAGGGTTGGGCACAATTAAAGGAACCAACAAGAGATGGTAAAATGCCAGGGAGTTGCAATATCAGGAAGCTATTGTCACTGCTCAACCTGAAGGGACAAGGGGATGAAACTATTAGCTGTGAGGAGGGGCCATGTGATCAGACTAGTAGTCTTTGATAGAGAATGCAACTACTGCCAAACTTAGTAGGGCAGGGCAGAGGCCAAGGGAGTAAATATTCTGACCTCTAGCCAGGCTCCAGTGCCTCTCAGTGGAACACAAGCCAAAGCCAGAGAGTAGGTTGAGGCAGTCTAGAGGTCAGCTTCCCAGAGACAGCTGGCCAGGGAAGGGGCCAGAAGGAGGCAATGAAGAATATCTCACAAAGGTGGCAGGCTGACAAAATTTGAATCATTATATGCTTATTTGAATATGTAACAAAAAGAATATAGCTAGCACATGAAAGCTATGAGTTTACAGCTATTATTGCTTAAGATAAGACTAAAGCAGGTCTTTAAATGATTGAAAATTAGACAATTGAAGGAAAAAATATTAAGTGATAGTACAGATCATACAAGAACATGGCAAAAATCACAGAGATGGAATTTGTAAAACTGAAGTTTGAGAAATTCTGGGCTGAATGATATATAAGGTTCCTTCCATCTCTGACACTGTTTGAGTTTCTAAGTGTCTAAATTCAGTATAGCATGTCCTCAAATAACTTCATTTCATTCAAAATTGTTTTGTTATAATATGATGAGAAAAGAAAAATCGATTCCAGCAGGACTACTATCCGTGACACATTCTACCCATCTGCATGGTTTTTCTCTGGGGACTCCAATTTCCTCCCACATTTCAAAAATGTGCACGTGAGGGAAATTGGTG